ATCATCATTTCGGGCATATGACGCATCATCATCATCATCATTATTTTGGGCATATAACGCATCATCATCATCACTAACATCATTATTTTAGGCATACGATGCATCATCATCATCATTATCATCATAATTTGGGGCATATGAGGCATCATCATCATCATTATTATTTTGGGCATATGACGCATCATCATCATCGTCATCATCATTTTGGGCATATGACGCATCATCATCATCATCATTTTCGGGCATGTGACGCATCATCATCAGCATCATCAATTCGGGCATACGACGCATCATCATCATTATTTTGGGCATATGACGCATCATCATCATCCTCATTATTTTGGGCATATGACGCATCATCATCAGCATCATCATTATTTTGGGCATATGACGCATCATCATCATCATCATCATTTCGGGCATATGACGCATCACCATCATCATCATTATTTTGGGCATATGACGCATCATCATCATCATCATCATCATTTCGGGCATATGACGCATCATCATCATCATCATCATCATTATTTCGGGCATATGACGCATCATCATCATCATCATCATCATTATTTTGGGCATATGACGCATCATCATCATCATCATCATCATCATCATTATTTTGGGCATATGACGCATCATCATCATTATCATCATTATTTTGGGCATATGACGCATCACCATCATCATTATTTTACAGAGATGACGCATCATTATCATCATCATTATTTTTGGCATATGACGCATCATCGTCATTATAATTTTGTGTTGCACATTGACGTAATCATTGAAAATTCTGTCTTTGAGGCATGGTTTCAAGAAGACGCCTCACAACTCAAGAACCCTTTAGGTATCACTACTAATTTTCTCTTTTTCGTTGGAAAAACAGCATAACGTGATGAAAAAAGGCCCTCAAACTTAATAAAAACAAAGTTTTATCGTCAAAATGTTTATGTTATTATTAAGAAGAAAGATCAAAGTACATTTTATTAATTTTTTTAATAATTTCTATCACGTTCCTAATTTTGGTTAAGATTTTTTTTTGACATCAGCGGTCGACGTCACATTTACGATGTTTTATTTTTTTCAGGTGAAAAACACATTGATTTGGAAATTCTTGCAAAAATCAAATAATTGTCGGATTTTAATGAAACTTTCAGGATGTATTCACAAATGAATAAAGTTATTTTTGAAATTCTTTTTATAAAGCCTTGCTAAATTTTTTATTTTATATTTGTTACATCCCACTTAATTAATTTTATGAAATTTCGAGAAGTTAAACATCAATCTCAAAATTTGTTTTATTAGTCAATAGCAGCTCTCAGAGGAGAATTTAAATCATGATTTATTTTTTTGTACAACTGAACACCTAGTTACTGAAAATCTATTCTGAATTGTAAAATGAAAAATACAATAAGACTATGACATTATTTAACGAGAAAAACTTTTAATTGCTTTTACAAATATGATTTATTAAGGACAGTGTTGTCTTAAAAATTTCTTTTTCGATGAATAATTAATTTTTACAAGAACTGATTTCATTTTTTAAAATTCTAATTCTAATAATTTATAATATTATAAATCGTTTAAAATTTTGCATGACTTCAATCCGGGTAGGTGTTATTGTTATTAAGCGAAAACTATATCTACGAATCAAAAATTGAAAAGCTCAATAAAAGTCGTTTACATTCAATATTTTAAAAATTAACATTTTTTTTTATGTATATAAAATATTACGTAATGTGCACCGGTTTGAAAGTATGGTCGATCATACACGACATAATCAGAAAATAAGAGCGATGTCTATTTAAATTTATTCCTAAAATGAGATTACGCAGAATATTTTCCAACATTTTTAAGATTACTGAGTACTTAAAAATTATATAAAAAAGGCGCTCATTCGTTATTTTCTTAAATTATGTTTTAACAGATAAAGTCTCCGTAGAACAATAGTAAAGGTGGTGACAGATGTTAACACTTGTTAAGTGACCTACGAGTTACAAGCAACGGTGATAGGCGCGTAATCACCGCTCCTGTTTGTTTTAAAAAACATTTCTGTGTTATTTTGAGGTTAAAGTAAATAATATTTCTTCAAATCAAATTACTTATACTAATATTCCTCAAATAAAGTTTCAGAGGAGTATATTTTATTTTTGGAAGTTTTTTAAAACCGACAATTAACTTTTGTTTACAAATCTGTCAAAAATGGACGATTTTAAATGGTTTTTGAAAGCGACCAAAAAAATTGAGATTGCAATCAATATAATTTCTATTTAAAATATACCAGAGTATTTTACTTACTGGAAATAGTAAATGTAATCATATAGCTTTCAATTAAAACGTAAAATGAAAGCTTCAAGAAAGTTTTTAAGTTTTTAAAATTCATTCTAAACATAAGATATTAAAACTGAGTGGAGGTACCTCCTATATAATCTTTGTTTTTACTGTAATTTCATATGTATGATAGAGTTTAAATTAAAAAAAAACTTAGGCTCTGTCTACCTATTAACTCAAGTATAAACAACAGTAAGTGCCTAACTGTAGATTCAAGTATGAATAGAAAAAAAGATTTCGTCATTAAATAACATAACGGGGTTTATATGTCGTTAAAGCGATTTTATCAGCCAACAACAAGACATTGGAAACAATAAATAATAATAAAATAGAACAATTCTAACAATATACTGTAATAAAAAGTTATGTGACCGATGTAAGATTCGTTCTTACCGTAGATTTTATCAAGCTTAATGAGAGATCAACAATAATACAATCTCTACAATATGTCTGAAGTTATTGTGCAAATCACATAAACCCCAATAACTCGAATTTGCTTTGAAAATGTTACAGCCTAGGGAAGGTTACTGAATAGAATAATCACACAAAGGTTGGTAATGAACGATAATACTTAGGACAAGAACAACACATATAAGATTCGCCAGCAGCGCGTAAAAGAAGTAGTCAACTGCTAGAAGTGAGTCAAGTGAATTCCACAATGAATCTCCAACTGCAGGATATCTACTAACCGCCCCACGCAGTCAGATGTGGCACAAGACCGAATTTAATGTGAGGTATCCGAGCCCGTAGGCTCGGCCAAAAATTCTCCGTAGACTCCGTATAAAAAGGGACCGGGCAGCTGCTTCCCGAGACGAGAACCTACCCTTCGACATAGCCCCGTTTGGGGATTCTCTCTGTCCGGAGGCAGAGAGCTTGACCAGCACAGCTGGAGACGAATCTCCAGACCAACATACAGTATTTACTATTGTATTTATGTGATTGGGGACATACCCTTTATCATCCATAGGTATGCTACAGCAGAAAATTTTTGTCAAATTTTAAACGATTAATTTTGACGTCAAAAGAAAGCTTAAATTCTGTTTTTAGGGAGTTTCGACAGGTTTTATTAAATTTATTGGATTTAATGGATTTATTATAAAAACTGCAGTCTGACGTTATTATGCAGACTGGACTAATAAAAATCTAATAAAAACTATTTTTTCTTTTTTTGAAACATAACTAAGTTGGAGACTAGAAGCCCAAAAAAAGACTTTAATAATTTGAGGGGGACGTAAATTAAATCAAGTTCTATAGAAAACAACCACTTTTAACTCGAGCTCAGATCTTTGAACATGATGTAATTGAAGAAGTTATGAAGGACAAAAGGTGTTGAATTCTTCACAAATTGGGATCTGTCAAGAAATCAAGGCAAATTCCTCTTGGTTAGGCAAATATTTTAAAGCGTCACAATTAAGCCAAGAAATACATGAAAATTGATTTTTCTAAAGTAATTTTCACGGACGAATCTCGAATGACATATGACGGACCTGATGGATGAGTCAATGGATGGATTTTATCCTATGTGGATGTGCCTGTGGTTAAAAGAAGGCAGTATATGATACGATGGGCTGGAATTGTCAACCAAACCAAATTAACTATTGCGATTTCATGGACAATACTTTCTTTGAATGGTACAAGTCACAGTCTCGCAGTTTCAAAGACAATGCTCCTTCTCATTTATTTAAAGTTACACGTGAATCTTTTCAGCGAAAAAGGTTTACAGTAGAGAAGATAATGGAATGGCCACCATCAAGTCGTGATCTGAATCCAATCGAAAATCTATGGCCAATTGTGAAGATGGAATCATAAGAAGGTGGCAAACAGTAAAGCAGACTTATCGGAAGCAATTAAAACTACTATGTCGAAATTGAACCTGCTGAAGTAAACAATTTAACAAAATAAATGCATAACAGATTGCTGGCTGTTATTGAGAAGAAGAGTCACTATATTAAGATGTAAATGCTTATATAAGTTCTCACAACACGCTAATGTATTATTAACTATTAATATTTAAAGAGTGTATACATTATTTTGGAACACCCTATATATATATATATATATATATATATATATATATATATATATGGGATAAGGTTAAGTCTGAAACTGTTACGATTATTAGGTTCTTATGTCGTAGGAATTGTCTGAGAGACTATCTTCATAGAAAATCTCTTTTTTTTTCTCAAAATTTAGCTTCATTTATTAAAAATATATATTTCGTGGATGAGTGCACCTACAATGGATCGAACTCATTATGCCGAAGTAATGACATGTGAAGCCAACATGAAACTGAATCAATGAGCTGTTCCGCTGGAGGTTGGCATCGGATGAATAAATGAAAACAGTTTCATTTTGGAGGAGTTGCAGTTCACAAACTATTTGTTGCCCCCAGTCAAGAACAGATTAAAGGTCAATTTCGAGATCAGCTGTTGATTTGACTTTATCGAACCTTGCTATAGACTTACTATAGGCTTACTACAGAATTACTATAGACTTACTATAAAGACAGGAGGGAATAGTTAGTGTCATCAGCGTAGATATAGAGTCAAGAACTAATGACATTAATGAAGACAAGAAGCAATGTAGGTTCAAATATAGAGACTAAGGGGATCTAGAAGAGTGGCCGTTCAAGACAAATTTCATTTATTTGTCTTAGAAGTTACTTACTATTTATTTACAGATAGATAGATAGATAGATAGATAGACAGATAGATAGATAATGAATAATGGATAGGATAAAGAGGAAACCGTAAAAATTTAAACAACTTCATGGAAAACAAGAAAGAAGCTGCGAGAAAACGAGGTAAAGAAAATAAGCAACAAAAATA